TCCGGGCCCCTTCTATTTTAAATTCCTGGATCCGCCACTGACTGCTGTAGTTACCACAATTACAATAACAACACCACAATTATATTGAAATATAAAGTTAATATCATGATAACCAGTGGCGGCACTGCAGATGGGCTAAGTGGGAGTAGAGTTCCCCGTCGGGAAGGCATGAGGTCTTGTTCCACCCCCAATCCCAGTTGGGATTCACAGTAAAATAATTAATAAAATCATTCTCAACGGTCATGAACATCATTCTTAATACCGTACTGTATCCCAGCAGAGGACCCACATCCACTCACATTCGAATTTTTTTTTTTTTTTTTTGGAATTAGTAGACTGCTGGACGATCTTAGGTGGCCGCCCTAAAAAAAATTTGGCATCAAATAGAAAGAGTACACGAAGAACACACACGCAAGACGAGTGACCACAATTTTTTCCCACAGTAAACGAAGGGGGTGAGTAGCCACCCTATTAATCCCCTTCCCCCTCACCACCACCCTCCAGATCCGCCACTGATTAACACACCAGTGCTGGAAAGCACATCTGAGCATCTAGAAAAACAAATAATAATCAGTCCACAAAAGAAGAGACAGGAGACAAATAAACCAGGACATTATCTGCCACAACATTTAGTCTGCTTTATCAATTCCTTCGCCCTGCACCCCCGAATACAGAACCTTTCTGTATCCACTCGCCCCAACCATGACTACTGGGTTTAGTTTACCCAGGGTTGTCCACCACCTACAATAACTTAACCTGACGTTGAAATACTGTAGAGGGCAGCAACCATAAAAGTGGTCGATCATATTTTTTTTTGTACAAGGTTTATGTCGAAAGTCAATTTACTTACCTTCGCGAAAATGGTAACTTTACCAAAAGCAATAAAATAAAGTTCACCAATAAAATTCGTTTAGCTAGGCTAAGCTTAGGCCCAGGTTGGGTACATTAAAGACGCGGGCGCAGTGGATTTATCTTACCTGAACTGTCATCGGATCCCGAGTCACTACCCGTTCCTTCTTCCATGTCGTCTCCGTCTGTTTTCTCACTATCTGGTGTACTGTCTTCATGTGCCATATCTTCTGGATCACTATCTATGTCATCTCGAGTAATAGGCATTGTGTATACTTTTAAATTTGCAAGAAATATGCCAAATTACAAGAAATAGATTGACTAAAAGAAAAACACACTTCAAAAAAACAACGAAGCCAACCCAACAATGTGCAAAATGTCGCCCTCAATCGATGTAAATCGAAGCGCCAAAGATCTTCCAAAACGCCACCGGGATACAGAGAAGAAGGCTGCCATCACAGTTAGGTCAAATCACTTAGCGACATCAAGCTTTTTCTCAAAGAAATTGAAAATATTTGCGAAATTCGGCGTGAAATTGGGTCACACAACTCGAGTTTAGGTGTTCCATTTTTATAAATATGCGATGCTCTAGTATTACCAAATATGTACGTTCACTTTTGTTTGTATTCGCATTGATCCTTAGTTGCATAAAGACAAGCAAGGTATACGACGACTGAGGCTAGGCTAGCCTGGGCCCTTAGCCAGTATGTAGGCCCTATCAGTTTTCCAGTAATGTATGACTTGTTCATCAACGCCTGCCCGGGCCATGTTTGGCGGCTAGCTTACTACTATGTAGGCCCCTACTTACTACTAGCCTAGTACTAGAAAGTGTGAAGAATAGGCTGGGCGGTTTAGGCCTAACCAATACTAGAGTCTTTTGTTCTCCCTACTTGAACTTGATGTGCTATATATAGGCCTAGGCTAATACTATATAGGGCATTCATTCAGATTTGATTAAAAAAAATGATGAAGCTGAACTTGAAAAATGCACAGACAGGAAAGATGATATTATTTTATTGATTATCTAGGCTAGCTCAGGCCTGGGCTAGGTAGGATACTCAGACACTCTGCAACAGCCCAGATCAGAAGATGGTGTCTTCTTGTCATCAAGTGATCACACAACATAAATATTCGTCAGCTAACATTAACACTACAGTCCGCCAACTAAGCCTGTGTGTGCCAAACTTTATGCATTACAGTAATTTTTTTCCAATTGATTTCAGACTTGAAGTCTAATGGACATAACACGAGGCATTTTGGACGATATCACAAGACCAGCGAGTAGTGAACGTTATCGACCTGGTAGCCGCATCTCGCTCACAAATGCCAGTCTGAGAAATACGCCTACTCCTTTACAAAGCTCATTAGAAATACTACCACCAGATAATCTTGAATTTCAGGTAAGAAACCAAAGGCTCCAGAGGACTAAATTTAGGAATAAACCGCTTCAGAAAAATCTGGTTTAATGAGCTTCCTGTATTTTGCTGCATATGATGAATTATTAATATAGTAAATAAAAACATGCAAACACTTTTGGTATTTTCAGGACATGGGTTAATTTTGTGCAAATGTTTGTGTTATATGGGAGTGTATGTTGTTAGAGCGTGACATATTATTTTACATTGTGCTTATATGTTAAACACTTTCTTGTGCATGTCTCATTTACAAAGGATGAGGATTTGGAAGTTGAAGAGTACCACTCCTCAGGGGAGGATGAGAATACCAGTGATGGTGAGTGGCTTCATTATCATAGCATCTGGAATCTACAATATCATCCTAATCATGGTCCATGTTTCCCTCTTCTCAGCACATTTGTTCCACATTTAATAAAGGAGGATCTATCCATCAGAGCTGAGGGGCATGGAACAGATTTCTTTCTGGTCTTTAGATAATTAATCCTATACATCACTGTACAAGAAGAGGGAAAAGAGCACAGAAGTGATGCCAAATTTCCAATAGATCTTGAAATGGCTGCCCCCCTGCTTGATTCTCATTTTTTTATTTGATTCGTAGATCAAAGCTTCCACTCTGTCAGTAGATTAATAATGAAATCATATCGCAGACGTACAGTATATATAATAATAATAATAGTGTAGTATTATATAGCGCACATATCCATCTAATGTAAGATGTTCAGGGTGCTTGATATGTGGAGTATATGATAATTTTATACATGCCTACTGTAATGTGTTTAATGCTTGTGGTACACCACATGATGTACCTGAAGCCTGTCTCTTATACACATCTAGATGTGTATAAGAGACAGTACTACCACACACCAATGCAAAAGTACAAGACAGTGTTTATTTTCTATAACAATGGTATTTTTGATTATCTAATAATAGTTAATATTATGAACTATATAGCCATAGTTTTAAGGTTTTAGAAACATCAAAAGCCACAAGGGACAAGCTCATCGCATTTCACTGAGAGCATTTAATTGAGCGAGGTGTTGTGGCTATCATTGTTGCCATATGGAAGAAAAAGGGCATGAAAACATCAAAACTATGAATATTATTAACAAATAATATTTATAGGCCTACTGCAGCCTTGGCCCTGTCTCTTATACACATCTTGTTTCTTCTGCGACTCATTCCATAATTCTATAAGTTGAGAGACATGAAGAGAGAAGAGAAAGAGAAAAAGAATATAATATGGTTATTAATCAAGTTCTGTTCATTAATTTTATATCATGTAACTGGCAACAAAATAAGCTCAAACTTCCATCATAATAAAAATGAATAATTGTTTTCATTTATTCAAATAATTCAGTTTTTCTTCCAAAAGCAACATCACATTGCATTCAGTCTTAACCATATTATATAAACTATTTAAACTTAAAGAATAAAAACTCAAATTGAATTAAATATACAACCTGCTGATATGTCAATATTGTGTCTATCTTCCTCTAACTTTCGTATTTTTTCCTCTAAATCCGCACGGAAAGCATCTTTCAACAGAATCTTCTCACTCTAAAGATGGGGAATGAAAAAGTTAAACAAATTGATGGAGTGCTATTCAATGAAAATGCATACTCTTCAGAT